TTGACTTGTATAAACAAGACAAGGGATTACCCTACCTCATCTCCCCTGGTCCCGCCAGTCCTACCTCGAAAACGTAGAAGACATGATTGGAGAGATGTCCTGGATGAAGAAACTCTTGCACTTCCCAGGACACAGGTCTGCTTTGGAAAGATTGAATTGGATGAAAAGTTGGACTTTGACTTGCCAAAAAAAACGTGGTATGTTGGCTGGACAAATCATGAAACACTGTTGGAAAGCAGTGGACAGCGTGCTTGAGAAACAACAGCCTTGTATCTACAAGGTAGGGTACACGCATTGCGCGTCTTTCCGCTGGCATAACAAAGTCTTTGGCTATGGTCAAGATCGTGAGAAGTGGGAGAAAATGATTGTTATCTATGCTGCCAAAGAACCTATATCTCCAGCTTTTGTTGAGGGTGCCTTGATTCAACGCCACAAAGGATTCTTGAAGGGTAAATTTATCATTCTTTGATAGTTTTGTATAGCTCTTTATATGGGGGTATGTGTGCATGACAACTCTTCCGTAGTTGATTCCAACCACTTTCTAAACCCAGGACAGCCTGGATGCAGGAACATCAGGGATGGAGGGGAGACCATCAAGCCTGATGAGACAGGGCCATTCTTGGTATACTTGGTGTACCGCTCATTTCAGAGACGGCCTACATCTAGCAAGTGAGCAAAGAAAAAAACAGTCTTGAAAGTTGATGTACCATGCAATTTGATGGCTTTGATCGATCCATGCAGCTCAGGCTTTTGAAGGAGGTGGTGGAACAGAAGAATTTGGTCAGGAGCATGTCACTTGACGCAACAACAGTTCCTTTTACCAAAATGACTTCAGCCGCTTTATAGTGTTTCACTCAGGTGCAGTGCCTTGATTCCTTTCGAATCCCGCTTCAGGCCATCCTTCACAACACTGTTGGTTGAGCAAACGATGTAAACTTGCATCCGGGACATTACGGGACAATCGGTCCACAAGATGGGTTGTGAACTGCACTGGGTTGTTTCTTTCCTGCATGGTTGTTGCAGGCAGCTCAACAAAGACTTCAACCTGGAGAAGGAGAAGTCTTCAGCAAAAGATAAGCAGTCGCGCAAATTGGCGAACGCACCTAAGGGTAGCAAGGCTAAGGGCGGCAAGCCTAAGGGCGGCAAGCCTAAGGGCGGCAAGCCTAAGGGCGGCAAGGCTAAGGGCCGCAAGGCTAAGGGCAGCAAAGCTGGTTCCCAAACCGATTCTCAGGTCAGTCCTGGTGCTGCACCAAAGCGTCCACGCACGAAGGGCCCCGCTGCCTAAGCACCCGTGTTGGATTTTGTGATGCTGACATCCCTAAAGAGAAATCCCCATAAACACTTTCCTTTGCGTGCTAAATATGTTTGATGGGTCCAACATTTTTGGGTGCAATGGCAGTGCATTTTATTTTGGGGAATCTGTACCATGTGGAGATCACATGGATTTGACAGGGATCAATTGAAAGCCTTTCAAAAAGCTCTGGGGAATCAAGAGCTTGTGCCCTCAATGCTGCCGTGGATTACCACAGCGCATGTCAAGAAGTGTTGAAAATGACCCAGCGTGAATGGTGGGAAGTCTTATACTTGCAAAACACATGTTGAAAACAAACTGAAGGTTTCGGATCCTGATTCATCAACTTCTCTACACACGAGATTCAACACAAGCCAAATAGTACCCCTAAGGGGCATGCATTCGTTGCCACGTATCCCACTTCCAGAAGCCAGGGCCATCACATAAATCGCGGCAGCTTGCGTGGAAGTATGGCAGAGGCGCATCTCGGTGAATGAACCTATATACATGTGACAGGCTTGCACCATGCAGTGCATCATGTGCTGTCTGCATGAAGTGTCATGAAATGGCAATGTCTTATGGACTCTGTGCGATAACTTGTTGATGCATGTTCTTCTCTCTCTTTCTCTCTCTCTCTCGCTCTCTCTCTCTCTCTTTCTATGTCGGCTGCATGCACGGAAGTTGTGAGATGCACTTATTTTTTGTGTTGCCCTCCATGCAACTTTGTTGAACATATCTGAGGAAAAAATGCAGTGAGATCATTTCTTTTGCGGCTGCGGCAATGAGAGACCATCGTGAGAGCCGCAGCTCAACACCACCCTGCCCAGTCCTCGCAGCTCTTGCGCCAGTGGACCCGAAGAAATCAGAGTCTCACACTGGATGTTATATATGTTTGTGATTGTTTGCGTTTTGTGGGAAATTGGATCAAGGATATGCTTTCAAAATATAGGACACAGGTTCCTGCGGTAGTCATCTTGCCCAGTCACCTGAGGAGGAAGCTGTGAGTGAGATATTTCGCCTGAACAATTTTTACTACCCGGTGCGAATCACGACTGAAGAGACTCCACCATTGGTTGGATTCCCCTGGCTGAGACCCACCGACTTTATTCAGTCCATGGCAAGAATGAATGACCTGGGACATCTTTTGGGAGGCCACTCACTCTCAGAATCCCGTGAGATGCTGCTGAGCTTTTGGGGCAAATACCGTGCTTTGTTTCCACAACATGAATTGTGGTCGGAGGTTGACAACAATCGGAAAGAACTTTCTCATTGCCTGCCGATGTTCTTGCACGGTGATGAAGGGGTGACGTATAAGAAATCAGGCGTACTTGTGTTGTCCCTGCAAGGGGCTTTTGGCTTCGGCTCTAGGGCCTCGAAACGGAGGAAGGAATTGGAAGCAAACCTGCGTGCGATGGGAGAGAGAGAACATATACCCTTGAATTTTTTGAAGACTGGTTTCCAGACGCGTCTCCTGCTAGTCGTATGCCCCAAGGACACCTATGGCTTGAATATGTTGATGCATGGTTGGTTTAAAGGAATTTTGGGTTTAGAGATGGGTTTGACAAGTTGATGAAAAATGATGGTGAGGCGTGCTGATCCTTTCCAGCCCTGTTCAGGATCTGTATGCTGAAGACCGGAGGGTGTGGAATGCCTTGTTCGAAGTAGTGGTTCAAGACCTTGCTTCAGCTCAGCGAAATGGTATATATATTGAAAGTGAGAATACAACAATTTGGCCCATAATCATTGGCAACAAGGGTGACTGGAGCTATTTGGAACCTTGGTGGGGCTAAGCACATATTGTCAGTGTTTCCAATTGTTTTTGTGTGCTTATACTATATCGGACTGCTGGTTGTTTATAAGGATCATCCACCTTTGTAAGTTGACACGTGTGTTGATTGACTCTGGACTCTGGCCATCAAGGTTTCCAGTGGAAATTTGGAACGCTCCTATCGCAGAGCCCCAAAGGGGGGCAAGAGATGCTGACCGTGGCATTGAAGGAGCAGGTATTTGCCATCTTTGCACCTGCGGCCAAGGAATAGATTGGGAGAATCTGCAGCTTTGTGAAAATTGTTTGTACTGCATTTTCCTTGTTTGTTGTTCAGCTTTTAGTGAAATAAGCCAATATATGATTCTACCAATGACCCATCATAGGGATGCAGCAGAAGTGGCCATGGATCGGGCCTTCGTTGAGGAATTGCCAGTTCCGTGGAGTCGTGAATGTCCTATGACTAGGGAGCTCCTAGTGGATTCGAGTTTGAATGGAAAGGCTCGATTCCATTGCATTGATCCTTGGCACACTTTGAACCTTGGAATCGGCAAGTCCTGGGTAGCATCCGGCGTGATCCTCCTCCAAGTCTTGGTGCCAGAATCGAGCGCTGACAAACGAATTGACTTCATTGGCAGAGAATATAAGGCTTTTTGCCGGAGGCAGAAACTGGATCCAGTGATTCGAAAGATCGACATCAGCACCTTCGGAGGGGGAGGTAGCAACGAGGCCACTGGGGCCTGGAGTAAAGCGGCGGTTACAAGTAACTGGTCGTTGTTTTTGGAAGAGTATTGCGGGAGCAGACCGGAGATTCAGCGAGATGAGCGGCTCCGTATTTTTGTGCCATGGTTTCCCTTCAGTGTCAAAGATTTTTCTTGGATCACCCCCCAGTGTGTTTTGCCTGCTACCCTGGATTCCCTGGATGGATACCTTTTCCTGTCCATAGTTTTCCAAGTTCCATCTATATAGCAAGGGTATACCTTTTCCCGTCCATCTTAAGTTGAGGCTCATGGGACCAAGATGATCAACACGTTCATGAGAGGAATATACGAGGAAGAAGTTTTCTTGGAGTCTGCCACTGCAGCCCGCCTTAGCAAGTGCCTTTACACGTTCATCAAGGCATATCTATTCCTGGCGCACAGCTCCGTCCAGGAGGGTCGTCCATACCTTTTTGCGCTCTACCCGAAGCTCCATTGGATCCATGAGATTGGACATGAATTGAAACGGCAATCACATTTGGCAAGCTTTGTGGTGAACCCGGCCATTCATTGTTGTGCGTTGGATGAAGATTTTATTGGCAGAGCAGCGGCTCTGACTCGGTGTGTATCTCCAAAGGTAATTGCCAAGAGAACGCTGGAGCGGTACTTAGCGCAATTGCAAATATCGTGGGCCCGTGCTTGACAGATGAGAAAGGGCAAAGCAGGGCTGGGAACCGGAGTTGGAGAGTGATGATAGTTAGATGGGAGTTGTCCAGAGGCTTAAAAGATATAATAAAAGATTATAAAAAACAACCATAAACACCATTTAGCAGGGACGTGAAAAACCGTTCAGGGTACGTGAAAAACCGTAGGGTTCTCAGAAGAACGTAAACATGTGATCAGGGACGTGATTTCTTATAAAAACCACCAAAAGTATACCATTAGCAATATGGACAGGAAAAGGTATCCATCCAGGGCAGCAGGCATATACCAAGATTATCCTAAGAATCCCAGACATGACAGTCCCATCAAACTGCCGATCAGGCCAGGGGTGCTTCATTTCAGGTGTCCCTTCATCAGCAGCATTTTTCTATGGCATGTTCTATACGGCACTATGGCAGGATCCGCAACGACACGTGTCGTGCGATCTCGGGGTCTTCTCCGGTCGGACCGTTGCATGGCGGTTTGGACGCTCCGGGAGCCCTCCGGGAGCTCCGGGTCCGGTGGTCCGTCCGCAGTGCCGCAGGGTCTGAGCCCTGAGACGCTGGACATGGCCTTCATGTGCGGAGACCGGGCGGTGACCGATGGGTCCCTGAGATGGGAAGAATCGACGGGTCCGGTGAGAGAAGGGACCTTGGTTCCAACAAGACATGGAGGGAGGTGCATGTGTGTTGACATCAAATGGGGACATCAAATGGGGACATCAAATGGGAACATCATGGGACCATGTGTTTTTTGTCCAACAAAACATGCAGAGACGGGGGAGGTGATTTGGCACCATATAGAGGGCCTATAGGGCTCCAGAAGTAGCTTGGCAGAAGGTTTTTGGGGTTGGTTTAGAGGGTCCAGCCATGCCTTGTGAGGAGGTAATTAACGGGAGCCCTAGGGATCATTCAATATATAATATTATTAATTGCATCTATGCGACTTCAGATCGAATGCTGACTGTTCAGTGAGTGTGTGTGTGTGAGCACAGCATCCTGCAGTGTCATAAAAAGGGTCTTAAGATGTCTAGACAGAGTCTCAGATGCAAGTCCTGCTTCCGATCTGTGCCCACTAGCTGAACGCTCCGCAAGAAGGAAGAATATGTCAGATCCACAGATTAGCTCGTGTCGAGCTAATTCTTTTGTCCTTACAGGGTGGAATCCGTGCATGACCACCGTTGAGTTCATCAGCAGCTGGTTATATATAAAATCAGTATGAGAACGACAAAGATCAAACGACTATAGACTAGACGGTCATCGCAGAGTGGGTGGTTGGGCAAACAATTTCTGCTGCTTGTCATGTTCTGAAGATCATGCCACTGCAGAGGCAGCAGAAGCACTTGACCTTTTCCCAACTGTCCTCATTTCCCCGAGCCGCTCCAAGACCGACCGTTCGCCACCCCCGCACTGCTAGCCCTCGCGGCCCACGCTGCCGAGACGGTGCTCGCCGTCATGGTCGCTCCTCCCAGGATGGTCCAGCAGTTCGTCTCCTTCATGGTCGATGCCGGCTACGATGGCTCGGACCCGTGGGGCGAACACCACCCGTCCCTCCACGCCGGGACGTTACGCCGCCCTGCCGTGCCGTGCCGTGCCGTGCGGCGCGTCGGGTCGGCGCGTGGGCACCGCAGGACGTCACGGGGGAGGGCGACCTCGGCGAGGTGGACCCTGTGAGAAAAGCCTCCGACACGGCGCGGGCTGTGGCGCTGGGTGGTGTGGGCCCACGGGGGAGGGCGGGTGGGAAGACCGTCCATGCCGACAGGTCAGATCACACGAGTCGGCCAAACATGGTAAAACATGGTGCCAGGACCCTCCTGTCGAGGTGTCTATTTATAGCCCCCTTTGGGGTCTTGGTATAAAATGTATAAAGCTAATTAGGACATATTAGGTTCTCATATTTTTTTCCATGGTAGGAGCCAGGAATGCGGATTCAACGTGCGGGCAAGGGGAGTCCGTTCATACAGAATTGACATCAACTATGCCTGAAAGGACGGATATTTATGAACGCCTCCTGGATGATGACCCTACTGGAAAATAGGCCGAAGAAGAAACAGGTAGGACAGCCCTGCAGTGTAGTATATTCAGTTTCTGTGCCATTGGCAGTGTTAGGACATGTTAGGACATTTGTTTGAAAGGAGATGTGTTGATTGCTTACAATGACCCAAAATAATGATACCGTGTAATCTCTAGTAAACAATGGCAAACAGTTTCAGAACCATGATACTGTTTCAGAACCATGATTAAACAGTCATGACCATGAACATCCATGTACCATAGCACATGAACATACAGTAACATACATAAACAAATTTGTGTATAGAGATGTTTGGATTTCGTCATCCATCTTGCCCGTTTCACCCAAGCACCGACCAACCAAGGACACCTTCCCCCCCCACGTACTTCCGGCCACGTTGCGTGCGATTGGTCTTGTTTCGTGTCGCGTAGACCGGTCCGGAAGCGGTGGAAGCGGTGCAGGATGCCTTGCTGAAGGCTGCCATGGTCGCAGGCTTTCAGCCCAACATTTGCGTCCTCTACCGGGGCCAACGCTCACCGTGCGCCGGCGAAAGCGGGCCAAATGCATGGACACGGCGGAGGGAATTGGTGGGGGGGGGCCGCGTGGGAAAAACGCGTGTTTGGGGGGGAGTCTCTGGAGAGTTTTGCTGCTGCGATGTTTTGGATGACAGATGCACACGGTTGGGCGCGAGGTTTCGTGCTTCTCTAGCTTTACTTTTTGTGTGTGTGTGGGTGGGTGGGCAAAGTTGTTTTGGGAATAAACTGAAAAGAGATGAGTGGTCAGATCTGTGTTTCAGCTCGCCATCTCCATGTCTCCCTGTCTTCTTTTGATGTCTTCTCGGCTTTTTCAAGAGAAAGGATGTGGAGAGAGCCAGGCAGTGTTAGACCGGTGCCGTTCCGAACGGCCGGGAGCAGGTATTGGTACCTGGACAGCAACGAGGAGGTCTCGCCCTTCCGCGGTTCGGCGAACGCGGACTATCAGATGAGTGGCCAGGAGCCGGGCTTTCGGAAGCGGGAGGAGAGGAATGGGTGGGGCCTACAATCCATAGAGTACGATATACCTATAGATCTTCCAACTACGCACAATTTATGCCTAAAACCAGCCAAAAGGCATACATTTTGCATAGTTGGAAGAGTACGATATGTATGGTCAATGGATCTCACTTGAACATGAGGCGTCATGTGTATGTGAAACCCAGTACTCGACCCATGAGCTCCGACCCGGTAGAAGTTCTCCACATGGTCCGACCACAGCCCGGGGGCCCGAGGTCCCAAACCAACCATCTTCAGGGTCACAGGCTGGGGACCTTCAACGGGTTCACCCTTTCCTTTACCGTATGTGGTGGGTTGCTCCGGAGACCAAGCGCTGGTTTGGAGCCGGTCCATGTCTTAAAGCTGGGCACGCCTGGTTTCACACCTGGTGCACCGGCCGGAGCGGCGTGTTTGCCAGTTGCATCGAAGTCCCAAGACAACACTCGAGTATATATAGTTCAGTTTCCTCTTGCCTTGGAGAAAAGGGGGACAGCTGCAATCATCCGAAAGTATTGAAAGCTCATTCCAACATGTGTTGATTCATGATTTTGTTGAGAAAGAGGTCGTTTTCAGCACCAGATCTACCGCTTCCGATGAATTGATTGTGCACTGGGCCGACTCCATCTCAAGACGCTCGTGACAGACCTAGCAGGAGCAACCAACACAACGCCATGGCACAGAACAGGCGTTACATGGCGTTACATGTTAGACACAAACAATATTCACAAAGAACACAATCTGGTGCTGTCCTTCGCACTTGGCACTGATAGCACCCATCCTGGTCGCCCCATTCCTGGTCAGCGATGCCATCACCAGCCCTGCCCGACGACTCTGTCGACGTGGAGACGCCCGTGGTGGCGCCAAATGCGGCACACACGGCGCATCAAGGGGCAGAGGTCATGGTGATGAGGTCGCATACGACGGGTTTGTCACGGGAGCTGGTGACGGAGCTGGAGGAGAGGGATGAACTGAGAGCAAGCAGAGTGGCAGGGCTTTCTATTTGGCACTCAGCCTCCATTTTTGTTCTCCAAACAGTGTGGACACACTAGGGGTTCGTATTGGTAAGGGTGAAGGCTGGGTGACCGATCGAGGGTGCTCACATCCGTCGCTGGCTAATTCGCTGCCAGTTACTGCACATTTATGCCTCTCGACATTTTTCGAAGTGCATTTTGACTGCGCTCTCGTTGTGGTGCGATGCACATTCTCGGACTTGGTGGTACGTGCCTCGAAGCCGCAGATGTCCGCTCTCACATGTGTGCCCCTTTGTGTGTGCTCTCTCCTGCGCGTGTGTGTTTTCTCATATGTGTGGATCTCACCGAAGTGCTCTTATGCGTGCTCTCATGTGCTCGCATGTGTGTGGCGGCTCACACGTGCTTTTATGTATGCCATATGTGCTCTGATTTGTGTGTTTAGATATGTGACATATGTGTGCTCATCATACCTGGGCTCTCATAGTATTTGAGCTCTCATTTGTGTACTATCATGTGCGTGCGCTCTCATGTATGTGTATGTTTTGAAAGCTGTGCTCACTCGCACCTGTTTTCTCACACGTGTGCTTTCATGTGGTTGCTAACACTTGTGAGTTCTCATACGTGTGTTCTTACATGTTTTTAAAATATGTGTGTGCTTTTACGTGTGTGCTCTAGAGGGCGGTGGCGTTCCCCTATTCGCCCTTGCTTTTCTTCTTTGGAACGCTTATATATAGCACTGGTTAGGTTCTCTTGCTGGGAAACATTTTGTCATTTTTCATGGTTAGCAGGCTCTTAAGCTGTGTGGAGAATCGGCCTGGCGGAGATGCAGCTGCAACAGTGATGGTTCGGTCATCACGCAAACAACATGGGCGGTGCAACCCACCATTGGGGGATAGGTGTGTTGAGATTGAGACATCGCACGTGTGGGCCCTGCTTGTTATTTCAGACACGAGTGGTCAAGACGCTCAGAATTGGTGGTTTTGTGAAACAGGGATGGAATCTCCAAAACTCATCCCAACATCCCTATGATTCGTTGCTAACAACAAACACATGGTGTTTATATATATATAGGATCACTACTGGTTTTTGGTCAAAACCCTGGCTTTGTTGGTGAGAACATCATCATCGCTTTGCGAAGCGTCGATCTCCGAAGGACTCGTTGATTCGATCCGTGACGCTGAGCACGTCGCTCAGCTGCTTCGGGCGACATTGGGCTCTACCCTCGGCGGCGAGCATGTACGAGGCGGTGACCCGTCGGTTTGGGGCGGCAGGGTCGCCCAGGGTCGCCCTGGGTCGCGCCTTAGGACCTATGACCTATGCCTATGCATTCAAAGAAATTCGATCGGATTGCTGATTAATCTGCTTTCTCCAATCGAAAGAGGTAATCAACAGCACCAATGACTCATAATGAATCACTCAATCCTGGATATTTCATCATTCTCAAAGCAAGGCCAGGTTGGAGAGGGCAACTGCCTTGTCAATTGATGAAGTCTCAAATTCCTTCTGTGTTAGTCACAATGTTCCAGAGTTTTAAATCTCATGCAGACTGTCACTCTCTCTCTCTCTCTCGCTGTCTCTCTCTCTCTCTCTCTCTCTCTCTCTCTTTCCAAGCCTGCTAAAGATTTAAGCAGAATCCCACCTCCTCAGATGAGATTGAGGAAGGACGGAAGAACCGCGCTCGGTGTTTTGCAAAGATAGGATTGCACTGTGTAAGACAAGAAAAACACCAGCTAGTATAGAGGGTCCTGTAGTTTTTGCATTCATGAACAGTCAGACCTGAATAAACGATAAATATCACCTCATAACACCTTGTCGAGGTGCGAAGCAAAGAGTACAACTTGAGTTTCCAAACGAAGCGCTACCATCATTTCCTCAGCCACGACTGGAAGACGTCCCGCTGGGTCAAGTTCTGGTCCTTGTTGATCCTCGGATTTTTTGAGAACGGGATGAGCGTTGAGAACCTGGCAGAAGAGTCGGGACATCGAAAAAGGACCCAGTCACGTCGCTGGATCAGACTGGGACGACCTAGTCACGTCGCCCGGACGGAATCGCGAACGGTTTTGTGAACCCCAAGAGACGGAGCGAAGGGGACGGAAAACCACTGACGCGCCGCGTCCGGCAGCGCAGCTGAGGATCCTCTTCAATTTGAGGGCTGCAACCTTTGCCATGCTGATGTGCGGCGTCATTGTGGGCCTGTGCCGGGAAAGTGGCGCATTGCTGGAAGACAAAGGAAGAGTACATCGATTGACGACCAGCTTGCTACCTGTACCAGCAATTGGTGAAAGAAACACCCCACACGCACACCATCCGCGAAGCCCTGTGGGTCCTGTGACTCGGGTCCGGCACCGGGGTCCGGGGCACCTGAAAATTGGTTGCATCAACTATGGGGAATGAAGAACATCAACATATTAATCACATACTAGACTGCAGTCCACGGGTTGAAGTGTTTGGGAACTCCCGAAGATGATGAATTTGCGCAAGAAGCCACATGTGGAACCGTGTGGTTCCCCTTTTTTTGGACCATGTCCTCCAAGCAAATCCCGATGGTGGAACCGTGGTGTTCACTACGTTGAACCTTGTACTACGGACCTTGTTTTCGGACTGAATTGAGTATACCTGGACCCTCCAAAGTAACATAAATGGGACATAACCCTACAAAACACAGCTGCAACTGTCCCCGTGTTCTGAGGTACAGGCAGGTACAGAGAGTTTCTGCGGTTTCGCGCTCCAGATTTTGGTGATTTGAAAGGGTGACCTGCAGACGAGTGAAACCATTGATAGAGGAATATCTCCTCATCCAGGGGTGGGTTTCATCCATGTTTCCCAACCAACATTGCTGTCCCTATAAGATTTGTATAAGTCCAGACCCAAATGGTTCATGGAGCATCGGAATGCATCCTGCCAAATACCCCGCTTTCTCGACTGTCCATCACATGAATCCCGCTGCAACTTGAGGCTTCCGTGGCTGGTGCTTCTTTTGGTCTTCTTCTGCTGGCAGCGGATTCGCAGCTTGGCCCGACGACCTTTGCTGGTCTTCCTGGATAAGCTCTGCATCGCGCAGCATGACCCATCACTGAAGGAACAAGGGATCTTGGGTTTGGCCGCCTTCCTGGATCGTTCCGACCACTTGACGGTTCTCTGGTCTCCCAGGCGCGACGACCGGTCCGGTCCGGAGTTACTCGGTCATCCTCTTCGGACGAACGCCGGACGTGTCGCCGTGGTTTGGAGGGTCTACAGATGGCCAAACTGAAGCGAAGCAAGCGAAGCGCAGAAGCCAAGTCTCAGCTTGTCAACATGTCTCAGCTTGTCGATCAACGCAGCAAAGAAGATGCACAAAAGGACAAACAGCTTCAGCCTTTTTTGTTGGACGAGGCTTTGCCATTCACCTAAACCTGATCAGCTTTGTTTTTGCTGCCGAGTTCACACAAAGGTTCTTCTCTGCGAGTCGTGGCAGGTATTTGACCCGTCTCTGGTGTGGCTACGAGCTGGCCACCTTCCTCCGAGACAACTCCGAGAGCAAGCCATTGACCTTCTTTCCAGTGAACATGTCGCTGATCGTGGCTTGACTTCGGGTTGGTTGGGTTGGTCCTGGTGGTGTTTACAGAATACCAGACCCCAAGCCCAAGGGGTGTTGTTTAACACCCTAAGTAGCCTAAGGGGTGCTTCATGGACACCCGCTCCACCCATTGGCACCGCCCATCCCCCGGGGCCTATCGAGTCGATCGTCCGAGAGCGACCCGCGACTCGCGACCGCTCGGTCGGGATGGAGGTTCGGGTGGAAGACTGGGTGACCACTTCATGTTCGTTGTCATGAATGTGTTAATATGGGAGAATCCCAGTTCGACCCCCGAAACGAAGGAAGGAAGAAGGAAACGAAGGACACATCGATCCCCAAAGAAGAGTGATGTAATCGCCTGACTGGGTGTCTCGGTGTCTCGTGGAGGCGAATACACACCCACAGGCCCTGGAGTTGTGAACATGAAGCGTGTTGAGTCCAGTTTTGGCTGATTCTCTCAGTGCAGATGGACCGCCAGGTCCTCTTGCCGACTATCTATTTGTCTTTGGTCAAGGTCCAGGCGCAGGTGGATGTGGCCAGCCTCGCAGTGTCTATGGGCCTTGTAGACCTTGAAGTCGGAGCCGGCTTGAAAGAAGTGCTTCTCCTTCGTGTTCTACCAGCTCTGGTGCTTCTTGTCGCTACCATACCCTTCTTGTTTTACAAGACCTTGGAATTGTTCCGCGATATCTCGCTGGTGGACCGCCAATTGCAAGACTTCAGTCTCAAAGGCTCAGAGTGTTTTTGCTGCGCCAACGACCATCAGCATCCAGATACAGGGGAGGCCTTACCCTGCGATCGAACCCTGGTCTATGAAGCAGTGCGGCTTTGGTATGGAGCGGAGTCAGACACGCAAGAGGACTGGGTTCAATCAGTATTTGTCGATTGTTGGGTCCGATCAAAAGCTTGCAGGGAACATCAATAGCTTGCAGGAACATCTGGCAATGAGCATTTATAAGATGGCGTTATAAGGGGTATGAATTGTTGTTCTCCACTGAGAATGTTCACCCCCCCTCTCATTGGCACGTCACGTTTTGTGTCTTCTTCCGGGAGGAGCATTTGAAGAGGTTCGACCGGATGGTGCATACAAGGCTACGTCGCAAGGTGTTGGCAGGCATGTGACGTTGTAACGTGATGAATGGGCTGTGGGCGGGTCCAAAACCACGAGGCCTTGGTTGACCACAGAAAATGAACAGACTATTGGGAGGTCAACCTACCCCGGTTTAGGGCTTGGGGTTTTGACCCATAGCCATATGTTTGAAAGGGCGCCCCCCAAACACCACTGGGTTGGTCTTCGGAAAATCGTCGTCTCGCGTGATGAATGGGCCGATGGGGATCGTCGTCTTCAATGAAATACTGGATTTGTCAACGACCCTTTGGGAGGTGCAGACAGTGCGCTTTTTCCTGTCCGGATCATGATGCTTATGGCGTTGATCACATCAGCTCCAAGGCTTTGTGATGCAATCACCATGGCCAGAGATCTACATTTGGAGTATCCCGAGGCTGACTGGAATGGTTTGCAGTATTTCTGGAAGTCTCTTTGTGCCTTTTCCTATTGGTTGGTGGACTTGAGCATTGATGGCATTTGCATTCGAATTGTTTACACCATGGCCTTCGGCCTATGTGGTCAACGACTCTCTCAGATGAAGTCCCGATTGAAGGCGGCACTACTGCTGACAGCGATCAGCTCCCCTCCTCCAATCATGGTACGCACAGGAGCGATGTTTGCCTTTCTGAACTTGATTCCGTATGACCTTCGTCCCTGCTATGCTCTGGCAATGCTGCTGGTAGCTCTTTGCTTCTTCAAGCCATGTTCGTTTTGTAGGGGCAAGTAAGATAGCTTCAGAATGGCTGGCTTCACCATTTTTACCAACCTCAGGGCGGACCCTGAATTTCTGTATTGTTTTGCTCACTGCGGGCAGTTTTAAGCCCTGGTCGCACACTTGGTGCGAGTTCTTTTTCTACAGGGTACATGTGACAGATGAGCTGTCGCCTTTACGCCAATAAGGCGGCCTCTGCGATGAACCACTCCGTGGCAGTTCTTGGGCGTCTGGTTTTCTTACGAAGTCCCAAGAACGAAGAACTGTGTATCTATATAGAAGGCAGAAATTGGGAAACCTTGCTGTCCTGGCTGAGGTTCATATTGGCACAAGATCTGAAAAACCATATCTATCGAGCCCAACTCCAAATCCCGCAGCAAACCACGGCGTCGTTCAGGCCGCCTGTGGGGCGGAGTTGACTTCACCGGTCTTCACCTCTCGCCCCCTCAGCCGCCTCTCGATGTTGTCCGTTCGGAGTCCGTTCGAAGGACGGGGAGGAGTGGATGGTCTTCTCTGACTCCATGAAGATGGGAAGGCGCGAAGCGGCGCGAACCCGAACAGCGAAAGCGAACAGGCGAACGAGACCGGGTCCGGACCGGCCGTGGAGACCCATCGCTTGGGGAGAGAGACCGGACTTGCTCTATACCTGCTCCCCAGGTGGCGGGGGGTGAGTGGCTGGGGGGGGCTGCTGGATTGAACATGAAGTTCGCGCGAGCGTCTCCAAGCAAAGCTGGCCCACGACAAACCGGACGAGGGGTGAGGAAGAAGACAAGTGGTTCCATGCCCTATAGGAACCCCACAGTGTTTCTTCTGCTGAGAAGGTACTTGGATCCCTATAGGATGAGTGGCCAGGTTTGGGATCGCTCGTGGAGCGATGATCTCGGGGAGTGATGATCGGATCCGGTGCTTTGTAGGGAGGTCGCTGGAGGTCGCTGGAGGTCGCTTCCCGTGGCGTTTTTTTGCTTTGCCTCGGGCCATGTATGGTTTCATTTTTTGCGGATTGTCTGTTCCAATCGGTTGTAGGAAAGGATCCAATCATCAAATCAAGATGGATTTCACTTCCAGAAATGTCATGGAGTGGGTAAAAGGATCTCACATTTTTGAAGGGAAAGCTGGCCTTTACTAACCATCATCCTGATCCACTTATATCCTTGCATTGGGCTATATGCAAGTCATACGTATTGTTTGAGCCATACTAAGGTAATTCTTGGTCGACTTGGTTTCCAATGGTTTAGCTGTCGGGTGACTTTTCTGGAGAGATGGAGGTTGGCAGTTGAATGCAGTTGAGAGATCTTTTTGTAGGGTCTTGGATGCAGTGGTTGGGCTGGTCTCTAAGCCGGTTAGTATCTCAAGGCATTAAGACTCAGCCCAGCAGATCAACCATTATATCGCCCTAACAATCCTTGGGCTCTCCATGGCAGGGGTCGGACTTTGCATGGCAGGGGTCTGGGCCCTCAAAACCCTATGTGTTTGAGGGCCTGATTCTTAGGGCGGGTGGATGATCTCTCTGGGTGAACTTCCCTGCCCGAAGTGAATCGTTTTGCGAGATACTTCGCCCCTGCATGGAAGTCGATCACTTGGTCACACACCCATGAAAAGCCTCCATCCAGTGAGTCAGTCGAGAAAAAGTGATGTGATGTCACTCATCCTGTCCAAACAAGTCTCAAATGTCGGCAGAT